TTTGTTTCCTCTACTGTGTCCCAGTACATATGTTGTTTGTTTTCTCGACTGTGTCCCAGTACATATCTTGTTTGTTCCCTCTGCTGTGTTCCAGTACATACATTGTTTGTCCCTCGGCTGCATCCCAGAGCATACATTGTTTGTTTCCTTGACTTATCCCAGTACATACATTGTTTGTTTCCTCAACTGTGTCCCAGTACATACATTGTTTGTTTCCTCGACTGTGTCCCAGTACATACATTGTTTGTTTCCTCGACTGTGTCCCAGTACATACATTGTTTGTTTCCTCGACTGTGTCCCAGTACATACATTGTTTGTTTCCTCGGCTGTGTCCCAGTACATACGTTGTTTGTTTCCTCGACTGTGTCCCAGTACATGCATTGTTTGTTTCCTCAGCTGTGTCCCAGTACATATGTTGTTTGTTTCCTAGACTGTGTTCCAGTACATACATTGTTTGTCCCTCGGCTGCATCCCAGAGCATACATTGTTTGTTTCCTCGACTGTGTCCCAGTACATATATTGTTTGTCCCTCGGCTCCATCCCAGTACATACATTGTTTGTTTCCTTGACTGTGTCCCAGAACATACCTGGTTTAACACTATAACCTTGTATCTATATAAGTCATCTTTATATCACAATAAAACCATGTTATATGATCATTTCTTCATTCAATTATTATTTCATTGTCTATTTCAGACCCTTTTATTACACGGAAATATTATAACAACATTAAAAACGGCGCCACATTTCTTCCCGAAGGCTGTCAGCATTTTATCCCTTGCAGAGAATGAGATTGCTGATATTAATGAGGTGGGAAATTATTGCTGTCATATTTTTTTATCAAAAATATTTTCATGATTTTCATGAAAAAGAGAGATCTTGTCTGTAGTTACTGACATGGCTGAGAAAGATGTGTCTGTAGTTACTGACATGGCTGAGAAAGATGTGTTTGTAGTTACTGACAGTCTGTATAAGTTTCTTATACTATGTGACAGTCAAGTTGGATATTGCTGTCAAAAATGTATTACAATATTATTACGATATCTTGATTGTATCACAAAATAGTATCATGATCTTACATTTAGACAATTGAAAAATGTATTGCTAGATATAGTTATGTCATCATTGTATCAAGATACTGTATCGTGAGGGAAATTATCACGATTTTTCAATAAATTTATAATATCTGACCATCTCAGCATAAATGTTTGAGAGTTTCATATTTGAATGTTTTGTCCAAGAAATTACACAAGTAACTAACACAAGGTGCTTTGCATCTACAACAATGCCTGCCTGTTACTAAAGTATTTCATAGTAGTTAACATATTGTGTTTATTATGATATAAAGCCAGAAACCGACCAACATCATACAGGTGTTACTACTTTAATTGTTGTATAAATTGATTGAAAGTAACATAGATGAAATTAAAAAAATCTATCAGGAAATGTGAAGCTTAAACAAGCATATTTTGTCTGATTTTATCAGGTTTGTCAACAAGAGATGATCAATGGTGTAGCATGTGTTTTGATAATAAAATAAGTTAAAATCAGTTGTATGTTATACGTTTATTGTATTTTAATGAAGTTGTTGTCTTACGATGTTACCAATAGACTTGATACATTAGGTGGCATACCCATATATTTTGTCTTACATTATATGTATTACACATACACATGCCATAATAAGAAAGTATATGTGTATATATTTCAGGTTTCGTATTTATCATGTTTACCTGAACTACAACAACTTTCTGTGATGAATAACCCATGTGTTCTTATGACGGCATCAGTTATGTATCCTTTATATGATGTTCTATCATTGTTGTCTAGACATATGTCACGATTCAGAACTGTTCACTATTTAGGGGAGAAGTTGTGTAAGCGGCCGGATAGCTCGGTCGGTAGAGCTGCAGTAGGGTTTTCCGAGTGTCTCCGGGTTCAAGCCACGGTCAGGCTGCACATTTTTCACACCCTGTGACACATATACTTACCAAATAACATATGAATAACAGTCTGAGAATTTAGCACTACCCTGCAAGCCTATGGCTAGTAGAAGTTGGGTCAAGCCTTTATAGTTTTCCATGTAAGTAGCCTGACTAGCTTGTGAAAAAGAAGCAGACAGTCACCTTAACTCTGAAAATGAAATAAGTGAATTTCATATAGAACAACAAATTTATTCTCAAAGCTGGGAATAGTATTATGAAATAACTAGATAACTGGTTGTGCTTGATTTTACTTTCCATTTCCAAAGTTTAACATTTTTGGACTGGTAAAAATTGGATTATATTCAGTCTTTGAATGAAATTAGTTTAAAAAATATTTTAACTCTGATATTAAAATTCCTTGACCATATAACAGAGGTTTTGATTACCGACCATTTATTGTCAACTGGTGCCCTCTACTGGAGATATTAGATGGATATACTGTCACAGAGAAAGAACAGTAAGTATATCAACTATGCTCTTTTTTGCCTTTGTTTTAAATATAAAGCTGTAAAACTTCATTAGTAAGTCATCAAATACTTTATACTCCTAATTCATATCATATTCATTATTCATTAAAACAATATTTTGCAGACACTGTAGGGCATGTTACTTGCTCTTGCATGTTACTATATAGTTTGATCTTGCAGTTTTTGTATGAAACTTGTGTTTGTTTTTATTTTACTACATAAATCTATCACTTTGAACTGTTGTTAATTGATGAATTTTAATTTAATAGTTTTTACATGTTTTACTGTATTTTGTTATACAGGTTAAAGGCAGAATGGTTATACAGTCAAGGTAAAGGTCATCACTTCAAGGTCGGTCAGCATGTAGAAACTATACAATACCTGGCCAGTGTATGTCCTCTTACAGCATCTGTACAGGTAAGATTGCGTTACCATAGTTACCTTGATACTAGAATATCTATAAAGCATCCTTCTTTGTGTCCCCTGTGTGTAAACAATATTATTTGTCGACAAATTATGAAACAATAAAAGATAAGAGTATGTTTTATGTAAAATTGTGTAGCTTATTGCAATACTTATTGACTTTGATGCAGATTATTTTGTACTTTATTTACAAAATTTATGATAATAGATTATACATAGAGAAGTTAAAGGAATATTGATTTGTAAAATGTATCTGATGGTGAAGGCTAGTGTCAGTCACTGGAGGTTATTGAATGTGATATGAAATCATATTCTAGGTGTATTTTACATTGTATGTTTTCATGTATAGATGTTATAAAATGTTCGGGTTCAGCAAATCAGCCTTCTCTTTATATCGGTTTGAGATTTGATTAATTTCCATTAGATTATTCAGGCTAAGAAAATCTGTTGTTTTTCTGTACAAGGAAAAATGCTTCAGTTCTTAAAACTTTAATTGTTCTTGTAGCCTATATAATTTGGGGTTTAACAACATGCTTTAGAACTATAGACATTACATGCATTTTGATTGGATAGGCAAGAGCTTTAGTACTATAGACATTACATGCATTTTGATTGGATAGGCAAGACCTTTAGTACTATAGACATTACATGCATTTTGATTGGATAGGCAAGAGCTTTAGTACTATAGACATTACATGCATTTTGATTGGATAGGCAAGAGCTTTAGTACTATAGACATTACATGCATTTTGATTGGATAGGCAAGAGCTTTAGTACTATAGACATTACATGCATTTTGATTGGATAGGCAAGAGCTTTAGTACTATAGACATTACATGCATTTTGATTGGATAGGCAAGACCTTTAGTACTATAGACATTACATGCATTTTGATTGGATAGGCAAGAGCTTTAGTACTATAGACATTACATGCATTTTGATTGGATAAGCAAGAATGCATAACCAATGAAAATAAGGCTTGCTTAGATGATGTATGTTTAATACCAGAAAGGAGTTATTATTCACCTAAAAGATGCCTGAATGGAAGCAAAATATAGACTGAGAATCGAATCATTAGTTCTAATTGCAGTTTACCATAATCAAGAGTAATCGTTTCACTCCTCAATTATAAGATGTTCACAGAGAGTTATGATATCAGAGTTAATGCTGTATCAATTCAATTTAACTTATTTACACTATATTAACAATATCATAAATTATTTTTTTAACTTGTTGATATATGATGTATTCTTGAGTAACTAATATTTCTAAATTCTTGAATCTTTGTCATAAAGGTACTTTGTTCAATATAACTGTTAACAAAACTGTATTAAGGAACTGCAATGTTAACTCTGTGATGTTGAATATTTAGGTGTTAAAGTTTTTGTTAAATGCATTCAGAGATAAAAGTATTCTGTTTAATTCCACTTACAGACTAACTCAGGATGATATGACTTATGTATCCTAATTTACAAATTTCTAATTACAAAATATGTAACATGATTTTTCTTGAATTTTTCATGATTTATTTGAATGTATCTGAGGTGCCAGAACGAATTCTTTAATAAGTGAAGCCTGTAATTTAACAATTGTTTAGTGAGCATGTAACACGGCCTGTATGATTATTAGATGATATTTTATTGTTTATCAACAGAAAGATTGTTTAAAGCTTTCGTGACTGTTACCTTTTAGTCAGTTTTGTCAGAATGGTTTTCTTGTTGGGGTTTCCCCCCTGAAATCCTTCAAATTCTTCTTTTGTCTTCTTTTGTCAGTTTCAGTTTGCCCACACCAATAGTTATAATATTTCTGGGTATATACACATCATCCTATTATGATAATTGTTACTATATTTAGATGTATGAATTAATAATTTGCAGTGTGACTCAGATAGATAGATCAATTAGTGACAGGAATTAAACTTATGAAGATAGTTCTATCATAGAATATTATTATATTTTAGGATTATCATTTTGTCTTATAGTTGATGGACGGTAGGATAAATAATGAATTTTTCATCATCTTCATTTCAAATGATGTGCTTTCAAACTTTTTCATATTTCTGGACTAGTATTTCATTTTAAATGATTTTATTTTATTTTAAGACATAGGTTTATAATAAGTTAATTCCTTTGTGTTACTGAAGTTATATTACACCTGTTTATTAAACTTCAAACATTGTCAAAGTTCTATTTTTTTATATAATCTATAACTAATAAAAGTTCGTTTTTTTCACTAGCATTATTGTTGTCGTAAATTCTAGTGAAGTGGAAACCTGTCTTATATTGATTGCTGTTTAGTTTTCTTTATAGAAGGTGGATAAATAGTTAGATAGATTTGTTTTGTCTTGTGAATTGCCTGATAACTAATGGTAAATCATTAAAGCATGGTGTTGAGTACCGCAGTAGGAGGTTACGTCTAATATAGAATCTCACGTATTATGATTGTGTCATCATTACGCTACACGCCTGATCAAAGTTAGAACACAGCCTGTAATCGTATGATCTCTTACTTTGAAATGTTTTCATTTAGGTCACATATTCTGTGTGTTCTATGACTACCTTCTATAAATCATTGTCATACTTTTTCCATATCATTATAGAAGTTAAATTATCATTGTCTTGTGTGTCTACTTTAACACCATAATCATCAATATCATCATCACCATCATCATCACCATCATCTTGATTATGATCATCATCATTATAATCATCACTATCATCATCATCATCACCACTATCATCATCACCGCTATCATCATCACTGCTATCATCATCACCATTATCATAATTAACACCATCATCATCACCATCATCATCATGATTTATATCATTATCATCATAAAGTTTATTCACATCAGTATCAACAAAAAGATCATCATTATCACCATTTTCATATTCATCAGCATCTTAATTATCATTACCATTAACATCATCATCATCATCTTCAAAAACAATATCCATTATTGACTTGCTTTGTCAGACTTACAACATTTTGTGTTTTTGATGCTATAGAGTTAAGACTGATGAAATCACTTTAAGGAAGCAGTCATACATAGACTTATCATTTAATGTTTTGCTAAAGAAAATGATTCAGTTCTACTGTACAGATCTTGAGAAAATGCTGACGTATGTGTAATCAGAATATGTTTAATTGTGCAGAAATTTGATAGATTTAACTTTCTTACACTGGATTACAATGTTAAAAAAATGTTTAGCAGATTAATTGAGTTTAAGTGAGTTCGTTTTATGAGTACTTGGTAACACAAGGGTTCATTCAGTGAAAAAAAACTTTTGTACGGTCTTCACCTTCATGTATACATTTCTCATTAAATATTCAATTTATTGGTGACCCGTTGAACTCCTTATATACACTGATTTCTTATTGAAATTTGGTTACTTTTCTAAGTGGTAAGTATTTTACAATTATAGAAAATAGATCTATCAGATTTATTTATTTTAGTGATATGTCTGTGAGGTCAAGGATGTCTTTGTTTGATTGACCTAAATAATCGTGACAAATACCCCCGATATTTGTATGTACAGACTTACAGGCCGCAACAATATTTACCGTCTTATTTCACTATTTACTTTAATTGCCCTGTTTAACAATGACTTCTCAGAGAAATATTATTTATATAGATATTTACAAGAAGTAATTTAAAATTATAACAAGAGGAGTTAATTTTGTGGTTTGGGTATTGTAATATTACATCAAATTTTGAACCTTTAGAAATTAGTTTTTTTATGCATGTATATATAACCCTTTAGCCTGCTGGAACAACTGGATATACCCATGTCACCAGTGCAGACCAGGATCAGCCAGGACATCTGTGCCATCTGACCATGGTCAGTCAATACATATTTTGAAATTTTCCGCAAAAAATTATGAATGGTTTTGTCCATATTAAAAAAAAAAGACATGTCCAGTTATGATGTATAACATGGTAAGGTTTAATAGACCTACAGTTAAACAGGCTGAGAAATTTTTAAAGTATTGAATTCAAATATTGCTTTAAAATGTTATGTTATGCACACAATCTTTTACAATTATTTATATCTCATCAACCAATCTTTCTTCAAGATCCATAACTCTCTTTGAATTTTGACAGACCAATGGCCCTTTGTGAATTGATTGGAAGAACATTAATCTTTAAACCTACTAAAGGTATTTTCTTGAAAACTATTACATGTCTTTGAGATAACTATAAGAGGAAACTGTCCAAGGTCCATAACTGTCACTTGGAGATAAACTGACTTCTGGCCCTTTCTGAACTTCAAAAATTCCTGAATACAGTTTTGAGTGCAACATCAATCTGCAAATGCTACTGACATCTGTCTTTCATGTGAACCAGACAGTTGTCTTATGACTAATACTGTATTAATATACTTTTACCCTTTTGGGATAGAAGATTTGTCAATGTGTGATATGCTGTTGTAGGACAGGTAAATGTCTGATATGATATAAGATATGTATAAACTGAGGTAACATCAGGTGATTGAAGCAACAGTCTGTGAGGCACCAATAGCAGGTTAAATGATTTCTATAGGTAGAAATACTTTGACCAAGATTTTACCCTGATAGCAGCTCTTTATTATGATTGGAGATCAATTGATTTTCCAAATGCCATACATTAAGTTTGCTGTTTAGCTATTTCAATAAAATGTAGGCTCTAGAATTATATAAAATGTTAATGACTTCTAGGTTTATTGCTTGTCAAAGCTTTGTTCCAATATATATTACATACAGATGTATACTAGTGATAAGCTAGAAATATTGTAGATGTCTGGTATATGTAAAGGTCAGTGACCTTTGAACCTCCGGACACTGGTCACTGGTAAGGGTCTAATAAAACCATAAAACTATTATGCAGAATTAAAAAGTTTATGACTTGAAACCAATTTTCCCTTAATAGGATATATTTTGTATTACTGGCCACTTTATTTTAGAAACTGACACAATCATGTCACTATCCTTGCTTGACCTCTATGTCAAATCTTTCCTGCCCATGGTCAGCAAATTTCTATGAATCAATAAATTGGAAATTAGAGTTTGTCTGTGGCTTGCAGGCATTTAACTACTTACAATGTCTGCTGTAATGTATAACTGCTGTTGAAATAGAAATAATTGATGTAAAGGCTATAAGAATTTTATGTAGAGTCTCAAGGTGAAACCTTATTAATTCCATGCATTTTATTTGAATCCTAGGTTTGTTTTAAAGCCCTTTTTTCTTCAAATATTCTTCATTTCTGATCCATGTAATGTATGTAAAACAATTAATTGTTACAAGCCAGTATGTTATCTTCAGTATTTAACATTGTAACCCTTGCAGTGACAAAGAATTTTTGTCTCCAAGAACTCCTTCCCCTGCCCCCAAAATTACAAATTCCCCTCCCAACTCACTCAAAAATACTGTTGATATTTTTGGAAAATTCATAATGACAGCTGACATACATTTATTACAGTTTACATTAATATTGACTTGTGTTCTAAAAATATTGAAGAGTTTAATTGCGGAATGTTAATTTAATAGTTATTACAAAATGAACCTTGTAATTGGATGTAAATTAAGGTTTAATTGTACACTAGGATATCATATACTACAATACTTGTACAGGTATTGATTTAAAGTTATATATATATCTTTAATGAAGAAAGAGACTGTTTTGTTTCATGTCAATTTCAGAGAATGAAATCAAAATCTGAAAGTTTTTCATTTTCTATTATAGCACATTTTGCTCTGTATCGCATTGAAATATCAGTCATATTTATTTGTATTACATTGAAATATCAGTCACATTTCTTTGTATTACATTGAAATATCAGTCACATTTCTTTGTATCACGATGAAATGTCAGTCATATTTGTTTTTGTATCACATTGAAATATCAGTCACATTTCTTTGTATCACATTGAAATATCAGTCATATTTCTTTGTATCACATTGAAATATCAATCACATTTCTTTTGTATCACATAGAGGATATTTGTTTGTTTTGCATGTAAGATTGAAATATAATTTCACTGAGTGAACACCAGATGCAATATTTTCACGAGTGGCGTAGCCACGAGTGAAAATATAATAGCTGGTGTTCACGAATGAAATATATTTCAATCTTATATGTAAAACAAATAAATTTTCTTTTTATTTTATGCTTTTTAAGTGATTTTAAGCTATTTTTTACTGATTTTGCCGCGTAACGTCTCGCATCTCCTTTGTGACGTCATAATATCATGACGTCACATCATCAGTTTTGAAATCTAGTTCCGTTAAATTTCTCTAATTTTGTTAAATTTCTAACATGATGTATGATGACATGGACTTTCTTTTCCTAAAGAAGCAAAATTTACGTATGACGGCAATTATTTCTGCCTGTTATTCCATCTAGTTATGATTATCTGTTCATCCGCATTCAGATATAGTCCGGCTACAGTGAAAATTATATTTTATAAATTTCACTAGTGGTTTATCAGAATATAATCATCTGATATATTACAATAAAACACTGGAAAGCATGAAATAAATTGAAATATCTGTCATATTTCTTTTTATCACATTGAAATATCAGTCACATTTCTTTGTATCACATTGAAATATCAGTCACATTTCTTGTTATTACATTGAAATGTCAGCCATATTTCTTTGTATGATGGCACATTGAAATGTCAGCCATATTTCTTTGTATCACATAGAAATATCAGTCATATTTCTTTGTATTACATTGAAATATCAGTCACATTTCTTTGTATCACATTGAAATATCAGTCATATTTCTTTGTATCACATTGAAATATCAATCACATTTCTTTGTATGACATTTGAAATATCATTCATATTTCTTTGTATCACATTGAAATATCAGTCATATTTCTTTGTATCACATTGAAATATCAGTCACATTTCTTTGTATCTCATTGAAATATCAATCACATTTCTTTGTATCACATTTGAGATATCATTCATATTTCTTTTTATCACATTGAAATATCAGTCATATTTCTTTGTATCACATTGAAATATCAGCCATATTTCTTTGTATCACATTGAAATATCAGTCACATTTCTTTGTATCACATTGGAATATTAGTCATATTTCTTTGTATCACATTGAAATATCAGTCATATTTCTTTGTATCACATTGAAATATCAGTCATATTTCTTTGTATCACATTGAAATATCAGCCATATTTCTTTGTATCACATTGAAATATCAGTCACATTTCTTTGTATCTCATTGAAATATCAGTCATATTTCTTTGTATCACATTGAAATATCAGCCATATTTCTTTGTATCACATTGAAATATCAGTCACATTTCTTTGTATCACATTGAAATATCAGTCATATTTCTTTGTATCACATTGAAATATCAGTCACATTTCTTTGTATCACATTGAAATATCAGTCATATTTCTTTGAGTTACATAGAAATATCAGTCATATTTCTTTGCACACTTTCATCTGTATCACATTGAAATTTATAGTCAATCATATTTCATAGCACATTTTGCTCTGTATCATATTGAAATATCAGTCATATTTCTATGCACATTTTGCTCTGTATCACATTGAAATATCAGTCATATTGTGTTTAATATCATGGGGATATATCTACAGTATGTCATTTTTTGTAAGCATCACATTATGTCCAGAATCTTTGTGTCTCATTGAAAACTGTCAAATGGTTTTCCTTCTGTATGTAATCATTTTCAGTGTCATGTTAAAATTGAAATCTTTGCTGCCATGTTGTATTTTGTACCACATTGGGTTGAAATCAGTTTTACATAGTGTTCTTAGAATCTATTTTAAAATGTTCAGTGTAGATGTACTTATTTAGTGTCAGCACTAGGTCACAATTTATTATTAAATACTACAGGGAGCTGTTATTGTTAAAGAGAAACTAATAAAAGATTAAAATATTTTTACTTCAGATGGTTTTAGTTTGAAATGTCAGAGAATATAAGTCAAAATAATGATATCATTTATATAACATAGTTCCAGTAGTAAGGTTAATTACCATAAAGAATTTTTTGGAGACCTCTAAAATTTATAATCATTGAATGTTTATTATATATATAAGGGAATTTACAGTTGAGTAAGTTTCTTGGTTGTCCATCATAGTTTTGAATCACTAGAATAAATTATCTTTTAATAAACATAGATAACTCAATATGCAGAAAATACTTTTTTGAAGGCATTAGATTGCTGTTTCTATTTGAAAAAACTAACCACTCAGGCGTACAGTGTTCTGGTTCAATTCCTACTAATCAAAACTCCAAAACCAATGTTAAATAGCTGATAAACACCACTCAGTGAGATCGATATTATTTCTTAAGTATACTGGTAATTATCATGTGTCTAATTGACAAACAGCGCACAGCAAAATAGGCATTGAACGTAGCAAATGAATCAACCCGTGACATATAGCTAGAATAAAAACTAACCACACAATTATTTCCCCTGATATATATGGCAGCATGGCATAACATCATCCCAAGCAGGTGTCTTGGTCAAAGGTCAAGGTCACATGTTGTGCTCAGAGTGAAAGGCTGCTCTGCAGCAAACTGCTACATATATGAAGCGATTTTGATATAACTTGGCACAAATGTTCACCATTGTGAGGCAGACTGTCACACAAAATTATGGTCTCTGTGGCCAAGGTCAAAGGTTTTACATAAGGTCAAAGTTCAGTTAAGAATATGAAAAATGCTTGAATTGAGGGATTATATCACAAATGTTCACAATCATGAAACTGAGTGTAACTATCATATTCCAGAGCAATTACTCACTGTATAGTTGAGACAGTATGCAGGCTTGATAGTTGTCACAACTGTAACATATAAATATAATATGCGTGTCCCTGAAGAAATCAAACTCCAAAACATTACCATTACATCAATCAGTCATATTCTTGTAGACTATAAGATTTTGCCCCAGACCATTAAGTAGAAATTCAATAAAAAGATAATGTATGTCAGGGTTTAATTCTATAGCAAATATATTTTATATTTATAAATGTTCAGTAACACTGGAATGAAGATTGAAAGGGATTTTATTTTTTCATTACATTCTATGCTTCCGTATATAATCAGATTTTGTGTAAATAGTGAGTATTGTGGTAATGATAAGAATTATGGTAATTACAAGAATTTGTGGTAATAATAAGAATTGTGGTAATAATAGAAATTGTGGTCAATATTTCAGCAGCACACAGTTAGTAAGAGAGGAAAAGTTAAGTCTTTGGTCACCAGGGTAAGTGTGTAAGGCAGAACAATTTTTACATTGTTGCTTAAAATACAACAGATTAACAACTAATCCCAGCTAATCTTTACACAATGAAAGGGAATTCTTATTTTTTGCTTTATATTAAAACTAGAATATTATTTGTGGGAATAATACAATCCTAAATTCTTTGCTCGTTTTAATTCTGCATGTATATTTTCTACTTAATTGATTGTACATTTTCTACTTGATTGAAAACAATTAAGATTCAATTTGGTAATTTGTAAAATAATGGTTTGGATTTAACTTTTGTTGGTGAGTGTTTCATGGAAATTACTTTTTCTCATCTACATAATTGTGGCCTGGTTTGATCAAGTTTTCATGTTTGCCTTTTTTGTAGCTTTTTTTTGGTATTCAGTGTTTTATTTTAAATATTATCTCAGACATTATTTATTTATTCTCAGAGAAATGAACATTGTTTTAGAAAAAAAGTAAATATTTATGATAAACAGTGGAAATATATTTTATATATATAAGTAGTATTATGTGAATTGTTAATGATATATTTTTGTTATTTCATTATGGTGTCTTTATTTGACTTTCATTATTGTAGAAGAGAATTTATGGTGATGGTTGTAATTATTATGTTTTGTTTAAATTTTCGTTATATTATTAATTATAAACAGTTGGTTATATGACCAAGTATAAATGATTGTACGTATATATGATATCAGTTTTAAAGATTTTTGAGAGGTTATATGGCCCTTTATAAATGGTTATATTGCATACAATCATTTATATACAGTCATATGATGTTACCTGTCAAAAATCTTTATAACAAATTTATAATACAGCAAACTACCGTTTTTAGAGGAAAAAGTGAGATTTCTGTATAAATTGACACAACTTTGTATATACAACTATATAAACGTCACGATTATCCAATGAAAAATGATGTTACAAACCTGCAGTATTATAATATTGTTCACTGATTATATGACCAAGTATACATGATTGTAGACATATAAAATAGTATCATTTAGGCATGGACTATATATGGCTAACAACCATTTATATACAAGGTAAAAGTCTTCAAAATACTTCACAGTACAACTCTGTCAACTCGGACAATTGATTTTGCTGGCCGTGTAAAAATTATTTTGTAGGACTCTGACTTTGATTGTGGGTGGGATGTATAGCATTATAAAATGCTCAATGACAATAGACATTACTTTAAACATGTTTTTAAATACAATTTTGTAGAAATCAGTTTTGAATAGTGCTTGTGATAAGAAAGGGATGAGTTTAAATTGGTTCTTTCACTATGGTTATAGTGAGTATCTGTGTAACTGTGATATTGTACTGATAAACTGGGCTTTACTGGAGATATAGTACAGTTAAAGGGTGTATTATACTATGATAATGACCCGTTGAAGGGTATGTTGACATTTAGACTCAAACTTTGTTCCCGATAACAGTGTCACATCAAACAATCCCTTACCCCGCTATCTCACTGGTCATAGCAAGACTCCAGCGATGCCCTTACCTATAAAGATCTGAACTTTACTTCTTTAATCATATCATTTTTGAACATTTCATACTTAATACTAGAACTACATAAGATTTAGATTATATTAACAATTTGTCTTTAAGATGACATTGAAATGTCAATATTTTGTGTAATTTATGTACCAAAATAATGTTTTTACAGAAAGCTGTCCCATGACTGTTTATTTTATTCAATGAATTAAAAAAAATCAAAGGTAAGGTTATTCTAGAAAATGTTCCATTATTTTGTTATTGCCCTTTGTTATTTTTAGCTCGACTTTTCTATGAAAAGGGGAGCTATCCTACTCGCCCCGGCATCGGCGTCGGCGTCACACCTTGGTTAAGTTTTTCGTACCACCCCACTTTATTTCAGAAGTATTACAAGTATGGCTTTGAAACTTACCATACTTGTTCACCATCATAACCTCCATCTACAGACAAGAGTACATAACTCTGTCAAGGTTTTTGACAGAATTATGGCCCTTTTTTGACTTAGAAAGTGTATTGAGCTTGGTTAAGTTTTTTGTACCACCTCACTTTATTTCAAAACCATTGGAGGTATTGCTTTGAAACTGACCATACTTGTTTACCATCACGACCTTCATCAACAGACAAGAGGACATAACTCTGTCAAGGTTTTTGACAGAATTATGCCCCTTTTTGACTTAGAAAATACATTGAATATGGGTAAAATCCACTTATTGCCTTAACCCTTTGAGATATTGCTTTGAAACTTTTAATGCTATTTCACATCATTACCCCCATCTGTACGCAAGAGAAGGTAACTCTGTCAAGGATTTGTTTTAAAAATTAAGGCCTTTTATCGACTTAGAATCTTGGTTAAGTTTTTAGTACCAGTCCACTTTTTGACTGAACAGTTTGAGATATTAATTTGAAAGTTGGAATACTTGTTTACAATCATGATTCCCAAACATGTCCAGGAGAAGGTAATTCTGTCAAAGATTTTATTTGAATTATGGCCCTTAACTGTCAATGTTTTGTATTATAGGCAAGCACTAAAAAACTTAAAAAATCTAAAAAAATTCATTCCTATCCACTTGTTCACTTTACCATAAATTATGTCATAATAAAATAATTCTTCACTAAATATCTTAATGCTCATGGCCATTGTTCACTTTAAAAATACAGAGATTCTTGTATTGCCTTTTACTGCAAAAACTTTTTTTATTGGCAAGCAATAAAAAAGTCGAGCGCGCTGTCTTACGGACAGCTCTTGTTCATATTTACCTTTAAACTCCATTTTTCAAAGAAAAGCAGAGCAATGACCAACTTGTCGGCATTGGCATCAACATCAGCATTGGTGTTGGCATCAGGGTTGGTGTTGGCATTGGATTACCTTTTTGATTAAATTTTCGTTTATTGTCATTAACTTCAATACAAAATATAAGGCTATTTCATTGAAACTTTAAATGTTGGTACACCTTGATGAGTGCTGCCTGCCACAATCAGTGTTGTTACAAAAGGTCAAGGACTATGTGACATTTACTTCAAATTATCTCTTTAATTAAATAGAAGAATGTGATGTTAACTATTAACAATTTACACAAGAAGAGACCTATGCTGCCCTCTGACAATATACTGCATGATTTGTCCCTGTCAGGAATTGCTCAAAGTGTAATGGCTCTATGACTCAACAACCGTGTGTATATATATAACAATAGCCAAATCTCATAACATTTAGTTTTGAGATAATTTTTTATCAATACTTGACTCATTAGATAAGATTGGTCCATTTTTTTGTTTACTCTAAACTGATACTTATAAAAGATAATTTATACTATTTTCATATTTTGTTTCAATGATGTCATTAAGATAAGAATTGATTTTTGTTGACTGAAAGGAAGTGTAATTGTGAGAGTTACCAGATTGTATTGATTTAGTTGTATGATTTGTTTCAATTTAGTGCTAATACCGTTTTTTTAGCTTGTCTGTTTCATAGAAAAAGCCGAGCTATTGTGATCCCTGTATACTCATTGTCAAGTTTGTTGTGCAAAAACTTTAATATATAGCCCATTACTCAAACATTTTAAAAGCTATTAACATGAATCTTGGAATACATGCTTATTCAGGTGCAGCTGTTAGACAAAGGGCATAATTCTGGAAGCTATATTTTTGGAGTTATGCCCCTTTTTAACTTAGAATTTTTTGTCAGAAGTGGCATCACCAGGGGTGCTCTTTTTTTGTCTTCCATATTTTTAAGTAGGTTCTCTCAGGCTGTCTTTACCTTAACTATTTGTCCTTGATGATTGCATTGTTATGTGTGTTAATGAATTAATGTACATTTACCTCAAATTGTAACAGATGACAATAGTTCTAACGACTCACATAATACTTTGTACTTTTACTGTAAATAATAAGTAAGTAGGTCTCAGTAGAGACAACTGTTGTGAAAACTTATATAATAAGTTATCATGTCCTCCTCTAGAGTGTAAGATTCAGATACATTGATAGTTACCTGGTAAATAATCAACTAAAATAATCAGCTAGCTCACATTTAAAAGCAATGATTAATAATTAAAACCTTTCATAAATATATATAGCTGTGTTTAAATTTTATCAGAATAATATTTTGTCTTGATCACAGTATATAAACAAGGCTGCTTCCTGTTATTGCAAAAAAAGGTTCAAGTTAATATATATAGGTTCTCAAGTACAGTGATCAGAAGTAACATGTGCTTGTAATCGCAAGACAGGGTACACATTGAATTTTAAAGGCTCACAAGACAGGGTATGGTGATTTCATTGATGCCATTCCCTAATATTTTCAAGGTTTTTTCTTTGATAATTCAATACATTAAAATTTTGTCAAGTTATACAACTTTATACTGGATCGAGACTTCGGCAGTTTATAAGCATAAAAATTACAAGAAAAATTTATAACAGTTTTATGATCTCTAGATTGTTGTTTTATAATATATATCAAATGGACATTTTGTAATACCTTTATATAAAGTAAGTGTAGAAATACACTAATATTTTCTGTGATATTTATGTTGTTGTCATAGCTAGTGGTCTGATGTGACACCGTGTCATAACGTATAATATATGTGTCACAAAACGTGACCTATACATGGCATGATCCTTTATTTATTACACGTTATTTATAAACCAATCTTTCGTATACCCAATATCCGATCAAATGTTTACATTAACTTTAAAAGAAAGTTAATTTCACTACATTGACTGACATACATTCAATACTATATACATAAATACCATTTCAACAGGCTTAAAGTTGTGCCAATACCATTCTTCTGGATTAAGTTGCATTTAAGATTGTTTTTCAGTTAGTGTTCAACCAGCAGAAAATAAATGATATAAAAGGATTGACTGTTTATAGAACTGAAATATTGTAGATTTCTGTACATTTTATTATATGAATTAAACAACTCTTGTTTGATTTTCAAGTTTGAAGGTCAAATGCAATTTAAGGACCTATATCACAAGGTAGGTTAAAAGAA